ATGCACTTTACTATTTACAACCACATGCATAAACTTTTACAATTTACTTTATTTAAATGTAATCTCCAACGCGTACACTGATGTCATCGCCAACGAGTTCACTTTGTAACCGACTTACTTGGCAGCTGAGTGTCGTCCTTATATAGCCGTCGGCTGCTCGAAGACGAAAGCGTAGAAGCATCGAGTTGTTCGATATCGAAGGCTCTCGTTTTATCGCTCTAGAATGTACTAGTTATCGGCTTCTCTCTTTCGTCTGACATTCGCCTCTCCTTTTCGCAACACTGCCCTCCACCTAAATCTGATCAGACACATCCGCTATTCCAAACTCAGCAAGTCTCTCCAGGTGGACCACTTTCATCTTGTTTCTTGGACTCCCAAGGGCTTGGATTCGATACACAACGTCGTTTATTCTTTTGATTATCTTGTATGGACATTCCAAATTACATTGAAGTTTTGGGGACAAGCCCCTTTTCCGTTGTGGATTGTACAGCAACACCAAATCTCCATTTTGGAAACTCTCCGAGTTCATCGCCTTGTCATACCTGGCCTTCATTTTGTCACTTATAATTTGAGTTCGCTGTCTCACAAGAGCATGTACCTCTCTTAGCTCTTCCTCGAGATCGGTAGACGTTACCTTCCCAATTCTTCTCGCATCGCCAGTTATTCCAAATTTTAAATCGCTGGGCAACCGTAGTTCACTACCAAACAGTATCCTCGCAGGTGTTTGCCCTGTAGTTACATGCACGGCGGACCGATATCCCATCAGGAAAAGCGGTATATGCACATCCCAATCATCCTGATGCTTGTCCACTACTTTTCGCAAGTGCTCTTCCAGGGTCCGGTTGAATCGCTCTACCATACCATCTGATTGAGGATGTAGGGCTGTCGTTCGGGTTTTTCGAATACCAAGTATTTGGCACATCTCCTGGAACACCGCCGATTCAAAGTTTCTTCCCTGATCTGAGTGCAATTCTATAGGCGCACCGTATCTGGTAACCCAATTGTTAGTGAATGCATCCGCAACTGTTTTTGCTTCTTGGTTTGGGATTGGGTAAACTTCAGGCCATTTACTGAAATAGTCCATAACCACGAGAACGTATTTGTTTCCTTGTTTGCTCATAGGGAATGGACCGGCTACATCCATGGCCACCCGCTCAAATGGTGCCCCTGCGTTATACTGCTTCATCTGCCCATGACTTCGGGACTTTGGGCCTTTAGCTGCTATGCACTCCGTGCAATTAGCAATCCACTCCGCGACCGATTGCCGACAGCCAACCCAATAGAACCGCTGCTTGATCTTTTCCAGCGTTTTTGTAATGCCTAGGTGCCCTCCACTAGGACCGTTATGGAATTCCTTAAGAACATCCGGAATTCTTAACTTCGGAACTACTATTAGCTTCCGGGAGCACTGGCCATCTTCACTTTCCCTTACCCTATGCAAACAGCCGGATATCAGCTCTAAACTGTTCCATTGTTTCTTATTTGGTCGTCTATTTACCTCCAACCCGTGATTTAATAATTCCCAATCTGGATCTTCCTGCTGACATTTCCTTTAGTTACTTGTCTTCCATTCTTCTGCTTGCGTAACTTTCATTAGCCGGACATCTATTATGCTTTCCTTACCCTTAGCTTTTGAGCAATGTTTACATTCTATATTACATGGTCGACGGGACATGGCGTCAGCATTTCCGTGCTTATTCCCCTTGCGGTGCTCGATTGTGAAGTCATAACTTTGCAGCCTCTCAATCCACCGTACTAGCTGCCCTTAGGGATTCTTGAACCGTAGTAGCCACTTCAGCGCTGTTTGATCCGTTCTAGCTCAAAAATGTTAACCATACAGGTATTTGTGGAAGTGTTTAAAGCAATCCACCAAGGCTAATAGCTCTCTTCGTGACACGCAGTAGTTTCGCTCTTGTTTACCAATAGAGCAACTACCTACTCCTGCCCAACAGTCTCCTGCGAGAGTGCACCTCCTATGCCATACACACTAGCATCTGTGTCCAGAATAAATGTTGCACCTGGAACCGGGTACACTAGCATAGGCGCAGTGCATAGCCGTTTTTTTTTAAAGCTTGTTCAGTTTTCCACTCGAATTATTATTTCTTCGAATTATCTATTCTTCCTTGTAAGCTCATGGAGAATATGAGCGACGCTAGCGAAATTCGGAACAAATCGGCGATAATAAGTACACAATCCTTCACTGCTTCTATTTTTTCCTTCGCAGTACAAACGCCCTTCGTGGTTACTTGATGACCTAAGTAATTCACTTCCTTCTTGAACAAAGAGCACTTCTTAGGACTCAGTTTAAGACCAGCGCCAGCTACTCTCTGGAACACTTCTTCCAAGTTACGCAAATGTTCATCGAAGCTTTTCCCCAATACGATGATGTCGTCCAGATACACCAAACAAGTTTTCCAGTGTAATTCTTTGAGCACATGGTCCATTAGTCTTTCAAACGTGGCAGGAGCATTGCATAATCGTTTAATCTTCGATAGTTCACGCAGGACCGCAAGTGGTAATCTTTCTTCTTCACGAGTACTACCGGAGAGCTCCAAGGACTTGCAGATGGCTAGATAACCCCGCTTTCGCTCATTTCCTTAATTATTTGGGTAACAGTGTCAGGTTGGCTAGTGGAACGCTTCAAGGAGCTTGACGAATTGTTCTTGCGCCACTAATATCGATGCAATGTTTCACTACGTTGCTCCTGACGAGTTTGTTGCCATCCTTGTTAAATATATTGGAGTATTTACGGATAAGTTGGCTGGCCTTGTTCTTGTACTTGTCTCCCAACCTTTGCGCCTAATCATTTATTTCTTCCTTCATGTGCTTCCTGCTATTGGAGTCGTTTTCCGATGAATCATTGATGATGGCTTCCGATTCTTGACATTGCCCTAATATAGTCCCTCCAGCAATTTTTACTGGTGATCTGAAGTCATTTTATACTCTCCCTGGGATGCGTACATTCTTTTCCGTCTTAGCCAGGGTCCTACCAATAGATATGTCCGGTGTAGAATCTTATTTTGCTTGGACAACTCACAATTTGCTTGTCCCACAATCTCCATTAATTTTTGCCCACACAACTAGTTCTGACTTGGGTGGAATCAGCGCGCTGCCTTCTAAGATCACTTTCTTGCTGCTGTGTGCTGCTTAGTGGTACTTCCATGTTCTTAAATTCCATAATGTTGTTATTCAAGTCGATCTTGATACCTTGATCCATCAAGAAGTCCACTCCTATGATTACCTCATCNTCCAGTGGTTTGTTTCAGCTGTCTTCTCAAATTGGAGCTTAAAGACTTGAAATGGTATTTTCCCGTCAAAACATGGTGTTTTTACCTTTGGATCGTTCACTGAAGCGGTTGGACGATTTATTATTGATATTAATTTTTAAATTATTTTACGGAGTGGCCACGCCGCCAAAATTTTCCATTGCTAGTATGTTTGTAAGTAAAACAGAAGCAGTATCTTAGCATATGAGGCGTGCAACTTTAAATGTTTTTACTTTTAAATAACAAATTTATATGTCATACAAATCATACAGAAACACGAATTAATATGTTGGTAAGTCAAAGTTTTCGAAATTTTTTTTTGTTAATGTTAAAATTTTGGCCAACCGGAATTCCCGGATAAAAGCTCGGAATATTACCGATGATTGTCGACCACTCAGGTAGCCCATGACCCACCTCTGCAACACCGACGGTAATGAGGATTATGTCCGTTAGTGGCACTGAGTGATTGATTTTGTCAAAAGCTTTTGACAAGTCCAATGCTACCAGGACAGTTCGCACGCAGGGTCGGTTTTGGTTAAGGCCATGGACTATCTGGGTGTTTATGGCGTTTAGTGCTATTGTGATACTGTGCACTTTTCGGAAGCCATGCTGATGCGCTGCTGGACGCAGTTGGTGAGTGAATGTCGGGAGCAATAAGGCCTCAAGTGTCTTCGCTACTGGGGTGAGGAGAGTTATCGGACGATAGGACTCTCCTTTGTTGGCTGGTTTCCCCGGTTTGAAAAGCGGGACCACCCTGCCCATTTTCCACACATCGGATATCTTTACTGTGGTCAGAGAGCACTTGATGACCCTCGTGCTCCCGCTGGTCCTAGGTGTTACAGCATCAGCATGCTTATTCCGTCGGGGCAGATGGATTTGTTGTTGCTGTAGCGGTTCGCTAACCCCGCTCAGTCTAAGTCGCCGAGGTCATCTTATGGTAGGTCCAGGAAACGAGCTGTTTCGACGGGGTTGGACCAGAGGGAGCGGGGGTTAGATGAGTTGGTTCGAGAGGGCATGTGAAGAGGTGGTTAGTGTCGTGCGGAGACTCTCCACATGCAAGACATACGTTGGGTATGCTAGGGTCTAGTCTGGATAAGTAGGAGTTTAACCTGCTACAATATCCAGACCTAAGTTGTGTCAGGGTCACGCGGGTCTCTCGAGGCAGCTCGAGCTCGTTGTCTGCTATAGGTGGTGGTTTTTCTCCGAGTACGCCATTCACTGGAAGGGAGTCCTTGAAGATGTTGACTGACTCCTGGTGAATGGTGTTCAGTGCTTGTCGGTACGCCGTCCTGTCCAGCGGTTGTTGAACATGTTGCTGGATTGTGTCCTTTAAGTCTAATACTCCCTTTCTGATGTGCCTAGCTGGAGGTTGAGCTTCTATTAGATGCCTACTGGGGTGCTCCCTGCTTTAGCATCCCAATAGGAACTGCTTGCACAGCAAAGCATTATGCTCCTTAACTCGTAGCATTGATGCTTCTCTGTGCAAGTGATGCTCCGGCTACATCAGGAGGTTTCCTGTCGCGGCCCTGAGGGCAGGTGTTCTGGCAAGCCTGTAGCTTCTTCATCTGCGTCTCGTTCGTCCCCGGCGCCCAGATCGGTGCTTCATAGTTTACGACCGGCCGACCAATTGCTTTATAAGTAGCCAGCAAAGTTTCTTTGTCTTTACCCCAGGTGCTGCGGGCTAGCGCTTTGAGTATTTTGTTGCACGTCGTTTCGCTTTGTCTACCGAGGGATGCAATTTGAAAAGTCGGCTAAAATAGCTCGCTCATCTCTTCGGGTCCGACGAGGCGCGATCACCGAAAGAAATTTCCACCCGGTCATCACGTCTCGTCGGGTTAGACAGCGACTTACTGTAGCCCAGAGTTGGTTGTCCCAGAGGAGAGGTTGCCGGTCCTTAAGTGCTCCTCCCACTTTTTTCGCTTGTGATTGCTGTCTACTCTTCGAATCTCCGCGTTTAAATCTTTGATTAGTGGATTCCCAGGATCGGATCTTCGGAGGGTTTCGTTAAGTTTAGGATTGTCAAAGACCATTATTCACTTATTTAGTTAAATAAATTGAAAGATCCGTGTGGTGGGTTAGCGAAATAAGCTTTGAAGCTCCAGCAGTGTGATTTCGATATTTATATAGTGCATCGGAAAGGCAAGGGACATGTGGTTCCGGATATGCTACTCCGTAGTATGCCAGTTATTGCTGAAGTGACTTCTACCGACTATTGGATGGCAAGGATGACTCGGTATGTCGAAAAAAAGCCTATCGTTTCCAGCGCGAAAAGTTGTAGGTTGCTACCTTACCAAGTTTTTTAGGTCGAGATTTGCCTCTGTTTCTGGCGATTCGCCAGAGTGGTAAAAAGTAATTGGGCACAATATTAAACCAAATAATTGGATTACAATGTATTTCTTTTGTTTGGAATTCCTCGGTCGATTGTGTATGACAATGGACCAAAATTTGAGAATCGAGAGCTTCGGGCCTCTGCGGTGACTATGGCGTCCAACTCCGCACACTATCACCCAAAAGCTAATCCGGCCGAGAGGATAAACAAAACTATTAAAACAAAACTTAGAGCTTATACATATATCAGAGAACCAGAGGATATGGACCTAACAGTTAGCGAAGGTAGCTTGCTGCATTAAGGCAGCGTAGTACGAAGTGTTAGGAGCTACGCCATATTTTGATAATTTTAGTTGGGAAATGGCGCTATAGGGCAGTAGGGTCTACATAAACAGATTAGGTGATAAGGAGAAACTAAATTGTCAGGAGCGAGCAAAGAAGCTTGAAGAGATTATGGCAAGTGTCAGAACTACGTTAGACCTAGCGAGCCAAAAGCTTGCGAGGCAGTACAATATCAGACGTCCAGATGTACAGTACATACCAGGAGAATTAGATAGATAGATAGGCTAATCGATTTAATGTGGTTCTCCTTCGGCTGAATGGGTCCTAGGTGTTTGTGCCTCACAGAATCTGCACGTTTCGCCAGAGCATATCCTGAGCGTGTACATGTGCTTTCGGAGTCTGCAATGTCCTGTAAGAAATCCTGTTAGTATTCTTAAATTATTCTTACACAATAATATTATATTATTAAGTTTTTGGTATTGTAGCCGTTTATGAGTTTCGATTGTCTCATTTCGTCGCTGCAATACCAATAGTTGGATCTTAAACTTATTTCCTCCCTTCTTACCTCTTCTCTGATTAAGTAGGGACCTAAGGGAAAGAATGGCTCTGGTCTAGTANGTCCTTAAGTGCTCCTCCCACTTTTTTCGCTTGTGATTGCTGTCTACTCTTCGAATCTCCGCGTTTAATCCCTGATTAGTGGATTCCCAGGATCGGATCTTCGGAGGGTTTCGCTAAGTTTAGGGTTGTCAAAGACTATTATTCACTCATTTGGTTAAATAAATTTAAAGATCCGTGTGGTGGGCTAGCGAAATAAGCTTTGAAGCTCCAGCAGTGTGATTTCGATATTTATATAGTGCATCGGAAAGGCAAGGGACATGTGGTCCGGATATGCTACTCCGCAGTATGCCGGTTATTGCTGAAGTGACTTCTACCGACTATTGGATGGCACGGATGATTCGGTAAGTCGAAAAAAAGCCTATCGTTTCCAGCGCGAAGAGTTGTAGGTTGCAACCTTACCAAGTTTTTTAGGTCGATATTTGCCTCTGTTTCTGGCGATTCGTCAGAGTGGTAAAAAGTAATCGGGCACAATATTAAATCAAACAATTGGATAATAATGTATTTCATTTGTTTGGAGTTCCTCGGTCGGTTGTGTATGACAATGGACCAAAATTTGAGAATCGACAGCTTCGGGCCTCTGCGGTGACTATGGCGTCCAACTCCGCACACTATCACCCAAAAGCTAATCCGGCCGAGAGGATAAACAAAACTATTAAAACAAAACTTAGAGCTTATACACATATCAGAGAACCAGAGGATATGCGACTAACAGTTAGCGAAGGTAGCTTGCTGCATTAAGGCAGCGTAGTACGAAGTGTTAGGAGCTACGCCATATTTTGATAATTTTAGTTCGGAAATGGCGCTACAGGGCAGTAGGGTCTTCATAAATAGATTAGGTGATAAGGAGAAACTAAATTGTCAGGAGCGAGCAAAGAAGCTCGAAGAGATTAAGGCTAGTGTCAGAATTACGTTAGACCTAGCGAGCCAAAAGCTTGCGAGGCAGTACAATATCAGACGTCCAGATGTACAGTACATACCAGGAGAATTAGATAGATAGTTAGGCTAATCGATTTAATGTGGTTCTCCTTCGGCTGAATGGGTCCTAGGTGTTTGTGCCTCACAGAATCTGCACGTTTCGCCAGAGCATATCCTGAGCGTGTACATGTGCTTTCGGAGTCTGCAATGTCCTGTAAGAAATCCTGTTAGTATTCTTAAATTATTCTTACACAATAATATTATATTATTAAGCTTTTGGTATTGTAGCCGTTTATGAGTTTCGATTGTCTCATTTCGTCGCTGCAATACCAATAGTTGGATCTTAAACTTATTTCCTCCCTTCTTACCTCTTCTCTGATTAAGTAGGGCCTAAGGGAAAGAATGGCTCTGGTCTAGTAGGCTAGATTAAGACAGCTTCTTTTGCAAGTCTATCTGCTATTACGTTTCCTTCCATACCGGTGTGTCCCGGAACCCAGGTGAGCTGGACTTTGTTTCTTTCGTCCACTCTATTAACGTTCTTAACACATTCCCATATCATGTGTATTTTAATTATACATGACGATATTGCTTTCAACGCCCCTTGGCTATCGCTGCAAATTACTATATGTTGGTTAACAATTTTCTGTTGAAATATAAGCTCTGCGCATTTTCCGATGGCAAACACCTCTGCCTGAAATATTCAAGGGTATATCGCCATAGGAATCGAGAATCGATATTGTGATTCTAGGTCCAGTGACCCACGCCCCTATTCCGTTAGTAGTCCTGGAGCCGTCTGGGTACCACACTAGAGGGTGCGGTTTCATTACTTCCTGAGTTTGGTGCCAAGTCTTTTTTTTTCCCCCAGGGATATCTTGAACTTGGCGTTGAGAATTGTTAACTTAAATATTTCATCTCTATTAAAACTTGCTAGAGGAATTCTTTCTTTTATCTCTGCCCCTTTCTTACAATGGTTTTTTTTTTATTAGGAACCTCTATTTTCTAGTGCTACTGTAGGGCATGTCCTAATGCGTCCAGTTATACAGACGCACGCTAGTCTTTGCAGTTAAGTTTTTGCTGCCTTGGCCGAGTTTAACTTTGCTCTTTCGCTATTGCTGTTTTATTTGTGTTGATGCTCAGCCCTGTATTTAAAGGGGAACATGGTTTAGAGGGTCAAAAAAAATCGATTTTTCGAAGCTTATTTTATTCGATTAAAAATATATTCAGAAATATTTCCACAAAATTTCTGAGTCAAATTCCTAATCGTTCCGCAGAAATGGCCTCTGAGAGACAATGCGCTCAGGAGACTGATAAGTGGGCGCGAGAACTTTGATCGTGATTTTCTCAAAACAGTGTTTTTCTTTCTTGTGCACATGATTAAAAAAGTTATCATTGTCGCATTTTCATAAGTGATACCTTTTTTTACAGCTAATAGTGTACGCTTCTATGTGAACCTAAAGAATCACAATAAAAAAGTTTTTATTAACATTTTCAATAAATTATCTTAAAACTTCTTCATAAAAACGCAAAATTTTTTTATAAACAGTTATAGAATAAATAATTTTATACATTTCTTTGAAAGTACTTGAAACATTTCATACGTAAGGCAACCTAAAACACTGTGCCGAATATCATGCAATCAGCGTTATAAACAAGATCCCCCCCTAAGCACTAGTTTCTTGTTAGTTTGTGTGCTCTTTGCATGTTGTAGTTGTTGTTGCGGTTCGCTAACCCCGCTTAGGCACAGGATTGACCAGTCTAAGTCGCCGAGGTCATCTTGTGGTAGGTCCAGGAAACGAGCTGTTTCGACGGGGTTGGACCAGAGGGAGCGGGGGTTAGATGAGTTGGCTCGAGAGGGCATGTGAAAAGGTGGTTAGTGTCGTGCGGAGACTCTCCACATGCAGGACATACGTTGGGTATGCTGGGGTCTAGTCTGGATAAGTAGGAGTTTAACCTGCTACAATATCCAGATCTAAGTTGTGTCAGGGTCACGCGGGTCCCTCGAGGCAGCTCGAGCTCGTTGTCTGCTATAGGTGGTGGTTTTTCTCCGAGTACGCCATTCACTGGAAGGGAGTCATTGAAGATGTTGACTGACTCCTGGTGAATGGTGTTCAGTGCAGGGTGAACGCTAAGCCCGCACCATGGTCTCGCTCGCGATGGTTGCGGATTATGTTGTATACGGCCAGGCTCAGAAGATCTGAGCTGGCAGTCAACTTCGTTTCCTGGATCGTAGCATTTGACAGGTGCTCGCGGCTCATGTGTTAGACTATCCCGTTGATCTTCCCCTGGAGCTCGTTGCAGTTGAATTGTAAGAGTCGGATCTGTCTAGGGAGAACGTTCGTGTTTCGGGGGGGATGAGGAAGTGATGCGTGGATGGATTGTGTTGCTGCTGTAATACCCGCTGAAGTTGATTCCGTACAATAGGAGTCATGCTGCGAGGAGCTTCGTGAGACCGTAAAGGTCTGTTGGTTACCCAATGTGGGTTAGAGTGCTGAAGGCACTGTCGTGTAGGCTGGGGGTGCGTTTGGGCGCTGGTATCACAGGCCACATAACTCGTGGTAAATTCAGCTCCTATTCATGCTGCCGAAGGCGGCTTTTAATCGGCGAAGTGGTGGTGGGTGTCGATCCTGTCGATTTGGCGCATGATGAATATCTGGTCAATGGTTAACTCACCAGGTCTGAATCCACACTGATGAGGTCCAATCAATTTGTTGACAATGGGCGGCAGCCTCTCATACAATACGCTTGAAAGTACCTTAAAGCCGATCTTAAAGAGGCTTATCCCACCGTAATTGACGCAGACTGTGGGGTCGCCCTTTTAGTGGATTGGGCAGAGTACACTAGATTCCAATCGTCGGGCATGCTTTAATCGGACCATATTTTGCATGCACCTTGTCAGCTCTTCACCGCCTTGTTTTAGTAGCTCTGCCTGTGGGCCGTCAGGCCTCAGGGCCTCTGCCGCTTTGTTGTTCACCATCTCCGGGTGTTTCAGTTTCACTGATGTTTAGCAGGCGGGAAAGGTGTTCCCTCCAAAAATTCAGTATGCTCTGGGCATCGGTGGCTAAAACACCTCTTTATTTCCTGCAAGAGTATGCTCCGGTCTTGAAACCTTCCACAAGTTACCGCACCTTCTCATGAAATTTTCGTACCTTCTCATGAAATTTTCGAGCAATTTTCGAGATTTACCCTTGTCAGCCAGCTTCTCAAGTTCCTCGTACTTACGCATTTCGGCCTCTTTCTTTTTTTTTTGTCTGCAAATGCATCTTGCATGCACGTGTTGGTTGTGATCGATCGCAAGTTTGCGAGGTGGGCAGTCTGTTTGCTCTCCACTGAAGTTCGACATTCCTCATCGTACGAGCTTTTTTTTTTGATACTGCCGAAAACCAATTATTTCCGTAGAGGTGCTACGTAGGGAGTCTCTGTTGCCGTTCTACAGTTCCATTATATCGAGCTGCTGATGTCTGCTCTCAGAAATCAGGTGTTCAATAACAGTCCTGCAATTTTTTGTGATTTCAACTTTACGACGTTTAACATTCCTTGTGTTTTTTTGAGGGGACATCTCTAATTAAAAGAGGCCGGTGCGTATCTTCGCTTGGACGAGTTAGTTATCCGAGTCGAGTCGTTTCGTACCAACATCTAGAACACTAGGGTCGTGTTTCCCATCAATTATAACATCACCGATTTGATTGCGAAGCTTCGATCTGGTATACGCAAGACCAGAAAGTTTCCAGAAATTGTCGTTTAAACTGCCCGCACTGAATATGTTTCGGCACTTTTTATTTGATAAGTTAGTTGCACTATCCTTAATTACTATACCAAAACTCAGCGCGATCTTTCAACAAGTTTGTTTCCAGCAGCTATTGAAAACAGTTGACATCAGCTCCCTCTGCGATTTTTTTTTTACAGCCTCAATCAGTTACCCCTTTCGACACGGGCACGGAGTGGTAAGTTGAGTTGTGGAAACAAAAGAAAATCGTATGGGGCCGAATCCGGTGAATGGTTGGTTGCCATTGGACGTGTTTTGGTCTTAAAATGGTTTACAACTACAGCTTGGTACGAAGGCGAATTATCGTCATGGAAGTTGTTGACCTACCACTCCGGCCGTATACGGTGGAAGTTTTCACGCGAACGCCCCAAAACGCTTAAGTAATACCCTTTATTGGTCATCTGTCCCGTTGGAACGAATTCGTGATGAAAAAACAAATTCCGGAATCTTTTTGGTTGTTGTTGTAACCGCAAAATAATTCCCCAAAGCACTTTTTGGGGAATTTTGCGGGATTGACAGTCCTTGGCCGGATAAAATCCGGGTCAAATCTTTACATACATTTTTAATAAAATAAATATATTTGGTTGTATATTGTTTAGCTAGTAGCAGGTCTAATAAACAATCACTGTTTCATGATCATAAGACTATTTGTATTTTCTCTTTCTTTTTAGGTTTTATGTTATGAATCATGCGGTTTATAATTTGGTTAGTCCTGGCAATCGTGCTGCATAACTTAAATTCCATAGAAAGCATTAATACCCAAACTAGACATGTTGAAATAAGCAGTAAAATACGTGATAACTGTTACAAAAGCACAGAAATATATGCCCGATCACTGCGAAATGTTGTCCATATTCGCAAGGCTGCTTTATTGAATGCGGAGGAGGACGTTGCAGAGAGTAGCGATGGTATCATTGACGGATTTAAGTCTGCAAGTTTAAAATCAGCACTTTCTGGAAGCGATGGAGGACTTTCATCCTCATCAATACCTTTTTTCGGCGAGGAAATTAGAGATTATAATGCAAATAGCGTGTCTTCAGATGCTAGAAACTTTAGCAATATAATAACAAATGTTATTCACTTTGATACTCCTTTAAATCATTTAGTCGTAGATACAGTAACCGGACGGGTGTTTGTTGGTGGTGTAAACTATTTGTATCAACTTTCTCCGGATCTAGAATTGCACGAAACAGTAAAAACTGGTCCGAAAAATGATTCAGTTGAGTGCACAGTTTTAGACTGCCCTGCCCATGCAGCGCGCAAGCCTACCGATAACTATAACAAAGTTCTACTAATTGATCGTGCGACTTCACGCTTAATAGCGTGTGGGTCACTTTTTCAGGGCACATGTACGGTACGTAATTTACAAAATGTAAGTATTGTAGAACAGGATGTACCGGATGCGGTTGTTGCAAACGATGCAAGTTCTTCAACTGTGGCATTCATAGCGCCAGGACCACCGCAACCACCTACTACCTATGTTATGTACGTAGGTGTTACATACACAAATAATTCACCATATCGAAGCGAGATTCCAGCTGTAGCATCCCGTTCATTAGAGAAAACTAAAATGTTTCAAATCGCGTCATCGGCTGTAACAACAGGAACACGAACCTTCATAAATTCATATGCCCGTGAAGGCTATTTAATAAATTATGTCTACGGATTTAGCTCAGAGCGATTTTCGTATTTTTTGACAACGCAATTAAAGCATAATTATCATTCTTCACCGAAAGAGTATATAACCAAAATTGTACGGATTTGTCAGGAAGATTCTAATTACTATTCGTATACGGAAATACCTGTCGACTGTATTACGGGTGGTACTAAGTACAACTTAGTACAGGCTGGTTATTTGGGTAAGCCAAGTGTAGATCTTGCCGGAAGCCTTGGTATAACAGTCCAAGATGATGTTTTATTTGCAATATTCAGCGTTGGGGACGGAAATGAATCAACTGATAACTCAGCTTTATGTATTTATTCGTTGAAATCCATACGCCGAAAATTTATGCAGAATATTAAGTCTTGCTTTAATGGTGTTGGATCTAGAGGTCTCGGCTTTATATCGCCAAATATGCCGTGTGTACCAACTGTAAGTTGTATTTCCGTTGTTTTAATAATACAATTATATGCACCACTAAGTTAGTTATGACGTTAATTTTGTAATATATGAACATCACTAAGCTCAAATTTCAAAGGAAAGACTTCTATGTTTCCTTAAATGTTACTGTTGTTTCTGTAGCGGCTCTTTAAACTCACTGAGGGATAAGTTAATAAATCTAAGTCATCGAGGTCATCTAACGGGAGGTCCAGGAAACGTGCTATTTCAACGGGATCGGACCTCAGGGAGAGGGGGTGGTATGTTCGGGTAGAGTGTGGATAAGTAGTCGCTTAACCTGCTAAAGTATTCAACCCTAAGTTGTGTCAGTGTCCACGGGTTTCCCGAGGCAGTTCGAGCTTCTCTTCTGTAATAGGTGGATATTACCTGTCTGATGTGCATAGGCGGAGGTTCAGATTCAATGAAATGGCTATTGGGGTGCTTCCTATCGTACCTTCCCAATAGAAAAACTCGTATGTTATGCTCCGGTAATATCAGGAGATTTCCTGTCGCAGTCCTGAGGGCAGTGTTATCACAAACCTGTAACTTCTTCATCTGCGTCTCGTTCGTCCCTGGCGCCTAGATCAATAATACATAGTTAACGACCAGCCGGCTGAATTTCCACCTAGCCACATTAGAAAGGGATTACTTGACATGAAGGACTCCATACAGCAATATGTGCACCAACCGCTGGACAGGGCGGCGCCACCCATTGCAGACAACGAGATTTAGCTGCCTCGAGAGACCCGCATGATTTTGGGAACACTTAGGTCTGCATACTGTAGCAGGTTAAACTCCTACCCACCAGACTCGACCCCAACATCAAACGTATTCCCTGCATGTGGAGGGTCTCCGCACAATACTAACCATCTCTTCACACGACCCCTTAAGCCAATACATCCCACTCTTCTTCCTTTGGTCCAATCCCGTCGGAAGAGCATTTTTCCTGGACCTCCCATTAGATAACCTCGGCGACTGGGATTGATTAAACCTGTCCCTAAGCTGGGCTTGTGAACTGCAACAATAACAACAACCGGCCGGCCAATTGCTTTGTAAGTTGCCAACAAGGTTTCTTTACCTTTGCCTCAGATGCTGCGGTGCGGTCGTATGCAGGCACTTAAGTGTGACTCCCAATATCTTTGATTTATTTATGATCAAAATTTTCACGTCACCGACCTTCACATCTAGTTCGAGCCTGTATTCCTACGTCCAGCTGGTGAAAAGGGTAGCCGACGATTTGGTGGGTTGAATTTTAATCTGTCTTACTGTGAAGAAGTAGGGCAGGTCGGCAAGATAGCAGTTCACTTTCGAAGTAAGGTCATCAGTATCCTTGCCAGACGCCAATATTGAACAATCATCGGCATATACATGCTTATTCCGTCAGGATCAATGGAGAAATCGAGTGCTGCGCTAGTGTTTGGCAAATTGCGCAGGCGACGGGTTACTCATGGTTTCCTCTTGCAAACCGAAATTTCCACTCGGTCACCGCGTCTCGTCGTGTTAGACAATGATTTGACTGTAGCCCAGAGCTTCGTTGCCCCAAAGAAAAGATTGCGGTATTTTAAGTGATTCTCTCACATATATCGCTTGTGATTGCTGACTACTCTTCGAATCTCCGCGTTTCAATCCCTGATTAGGGGATTCCCAGGATCGGAGCTTCGGAGGGTGTCGCGCCTGGATGCTAATACCGCCGCTTCTGTCGGAAAATTTGGGCGGATTTCCGCAATTCAGCCTTCGGGGATGAAGCGGGCGGCAGCGGCTACGACGACCCGGCGGAATAAACGTTCACCAGTAGTGAAGCCGGACCAGTTAACTTTCTTAAAGTTGAAAAGTGTCCGGTTATCCACGGAGACAAAGTCGTGAGGCCTGTCAATCGAGATTTGTATGGGCAAGTAGTCCGATGCTAGTATCAGTATAGGTCGCCAGACTATACTGTTTATCAGACCAGCACTCGCAATTGTTATATACGCGATCTTTGGCAATTACCCATAACTTTGGTGGGGGATCTTATAGTTTATTGTGCAGAACGTCGAATCGTGATGCGCGTTAAAGCTGCTCAAAAACAAACGGGTTTAGTCCCTGATTAGCTCACCTATATCAGGGCTGCATCCAACTGGTCAACTTGTAACAGGAGGAATGTATATATTAAATATCTTGGACAAGTTAGTACCGGATAGCTATGCCCTGAAATTCTAGGGTAGTAACTCTGCGGTCGATTTCGCCATCGATAAGACGATACTGCACGGTGTTGTGCAGGGTGAACGCTAAGCCCCCACCATGGTCTCGCTCGCGATAGTTGCGGATTATGTTGTATACGGCCAGGCTCAGAAGATCTGAGCTGGCAGTCAACTTCGTTTCCTGGATCGTAGCATTTGACAGGTGCTCNCTCGCAACTTAAGTTAAATCGAATAGCAACACTGAGAAAAGTCCTAACACATCCTCATACTCACTTGCCAGACTTCGGTCTTATAAGTAATTTAGTCAATCATCCGAAGAGGCATGTGTATAAAGACATTTCTATATCAAAGCAACCGAGCCTTGAAGGTTGAATTGGGAGTTCTTGTTTAGAGATGGCTCCATATAAGACACTAGCACAGCTACGTATTACTATTATCGACTAGACCCTAGACTGAGTTGCTGGGCACAAATCCAGCATGCTGCAGTTAAAGCCTTCAAAGTCACTTTTAAGCTTGGTGGACTAATAGCTAAGATAGGAGGTCCAACCCAAGGAAAAAAGAAGTTTATCATGGCGACAGCACTTAATATTTTACTGTATGGAGCCGAACTATGGGTGGACTCACTTAAGAAGAATAATAGGCGAATGGTACTGGCCAATTATACCGTACGGCGGCTTTGAGAGTAGTATATCGGCATATTGTAAGCCAACAGGGAAGCTAAATCTATAATGTACGGAAGCATTCCCATCGGCCTATTGGCAGTAGAAAATAAAAGAAACTGGAGGCTTACAAAAATGAGGAACCAAGGATGCACCGTCAATATAAGCAGAGAGGACAAAAGGAAATAAACCTTGAAACAGTGGCAAGCTCGATGGAAAGAAGGAAACCATGGCCGATGGACGGCCAGATTGATAGCAGCCGTCGGGTATGGTAGACTACTATGCAGCGCTTGGGTCCGCATTGAGAAAAGCTTGAACTCTTCTGCTTACTGAAATCAGCTTACATTCAGTCCAACTGTTTGAGAAATTTGTTTATTGACTCTGTGTTCAACCATCAGTATAACACTGCGACAGTTAAGTGTTCGCCGCATTCTTGAAGGTGCAGTCTAAGCCTGGTAGAGGCATTAATTTAAACAACCCCCCCCCAAAAAATCTAATAGTTTCAAATCGTATGATCTCGGTGGCCAATCGACATCGCCAGAGGAGAGACTATATAAAGCTATATTAGCTCGTGTTGCTTTCGTTGACAGTAACTGTTACGTCGTTGTTAAAGAAGTGAGGTCCAATCATATCTCCGGACCAAAGAACGCACCAGGTTGGTTGGTTGGTTGAAGTGGCTGCTGAGCATCAGCTCAGCTGGGATTTCAATGACCCCCATTCGCTAATCGAATTTCACACAGCTTGCAAAACTGTGCAGTCACTGCAACTTGGTCCCCGCTATTTTGCTCATTTATCTTGGTTCATGTTCGTCTTGTCGGCAACCTCTCTGCGTGCCTGCCTAATAAAGTAAGCCTTGAAACAAGAACTAAAAATGTAGATATCTCCTTTATTTTTAGCTCGATGAGGGCTTGTGACCTTCTTTCATTCCATTCTGGTCTTATTGTCTTGGTCACATTACACGCATTCAGACTTCTCCATCTTGAGCTCCCACCTCTAATGAATAATAACTCTCATATATCTATTTAGCTTATAAGGGGAGAACGGCATGATGACCGACCTTGTCATTTAGTTTTGACCCGATCGAGTTGGTGCTTGCTGGTATTATCCTGTCCCAAAGGTCTCTATCCGGGATAACTATCTTGAAATCCATCGTGAAGTTAGTGAATCACACGCAGTAACCCGTTTTTCTCGTAGACGCATTCTTTTTAAGATGTTCATTATAATTGGTGCTTTGGAACCGCTGAAGCGATTTTGAGCCGAGTTCCTCTTCCAGTTTGTTGTTTTGCGTCTTCATGTGCTTTCAACAAATGAGACCTACAGTTTGTACTAAGCCGTCTCCGAACGGCTTATGGTTTTTAATGAGGAGCCTTTATTTCATGGTGAGGGCCGACCGCAATTAGAAAATTTGACATAATCTTTTATATAAATTAATTTTCAATAGCTTTTGGATGTTGGCTGCACCGGAATCTCAACGACAGTACAGCCACTCTCGAACTTAGAGATAATGCTGACCATCAGACTGCAACGTCACAGAGCAGTAAAAGCAAACGCACTATTTTGGGTGACGGGTATGCATTATGCATTATTTTCTTCGAGTTCTTTGACCAGTTTAATTTGCAGCTCAGGATGTGTCCCAATGGGTTGATGCCCAGTCCAGCATTAAAGCTCACTTTTCTTTCAGCGTTAGTCCGCCCTGCGTGATGTTACATAAAGTTTGTGGGAATTTGCCATTCACTATTCACTAGCTATGACCTGCAGCTCCCCTTCTCTATGTATCTCTGCAGTTAGTTCCCTGCCAAGATCCTAAGATGAGGCGAGAGGACTCCACTCTGTGGGGTTTCTCTGCTGACATAACTCAGTATCGAGTCCCTAACGATCTGAGATCTAACAAACCTGAATTCGACCGTTTGGCGTATAAGAGAAATCACCCGAGGATCCACGCTCAGGCAAGTCATTACAGAAGTAATTGCAGTCTGCGCTATAATATGGAAGACACTCAATATCCAAATAAAAGCTCCTTGGCTGTATTCTTTGACCGAGATCGATCTTTTAGTTTGTGATACCACCGTGGTGACGCTATCTCCGTTGACCTGCTTTTCATGTAGCCGTATACCTAATGTGAATCTCTGCTACCTTTAGTAGAAAGGATGTCAAACTTATTGGTCTGATACTTACGTAGGTTAAACTGCACACTCTTTTCAATATATCAAACAGCCAGCTGACACTGATACCTGCAATTGAATAGGTGCAAGTTGGTCATGTCCTGGATCTTTGTCTACTTCTCTTCAATCATTTGAGGATTTTCTCCCGAAATAGAAATACGCCTCTAATGTAGATGTAAGTCCTAGTGCCAAAAACGACTACACTTCTACCTTTCGAAGTTTGACGTGGAGACTTAAAATATCGGAATTATGGAGTGCTCCCTTGTTGGGTGCTGCACATTACAAGAAAAAGAGCAAAATATCAAACTTGTCTTCGCACAAATTTTATAACAAAACATGAAACGCAAATAAATCTTAGATTAAATTTTAAATTTCGTCACAGTAACATTTTTATTTTTTTATTTTATTAAATATGTTTATTTATTTTTTTAATACACATATTTGTACAATTTATGTATTTTATTTTTAAACAGAAGTTACAAACAATCGGTGAGGATTTTTGTGGACTTGATGTAAACTCACCTTTGGGTGGTGAGCAACCAATCTCCGTTGTGCCGGTCGCCAAGTTCAATACCCAACTTACAGCAGTTGCCGCTACAAGTACAAGTGGATACACTGTCGTTTTTATTGGTACCGCAAATGGGCACTTAAAGAAAGTAGTGGTTGAATCAGCGGATTCTGCGAATGAGTACGCTGATATACCAATAAAAATAGGATCCACCATTAACTCTGATATGCATTTTGATAGCCGAAATCTTTACATATATGTAATGTCGAGTAATGAAGTCGCCAAAGTAAAGGTTTATGACTGCTCCGATTACAGTACATGTGGTGAGTGCTTGGGCGCTCGAGATCCTTATTGCGGCTGGTGTTCTCTTGAAAATAAATGCAGTCCACGTTCTAGTTGCCAGGACGATGCAAACGACCCTTTATATTGGGTTAGTTATAAAACTGGAAAGTGCACAACAATTACAAGTGTTGTACCACATCAGTTACAGCGTACTACAGCAAGAACTTTAGAACTGATTATTGATCATTTACCACAACTTAAGGAGAACCTCGTATGCGCATTCACAACTGAAGAGAAAGCTTTATTTACAAATGCTACTAAGAAACGGAATGGGGTGAATTGCACCACTCCACGTACCGACATGTTACCACAAATAGAACAAGGGAAACACCATTTTACAGCGAAATTATCTGTACGAACTAAAGATGGACCGGACCTTGTTTCCACCGACTTTACTTTCTTTGACTGCAGTACACATTCATCCTGCACTAGATGCGTATCTTCAGAATTTCCCTGTGATTGGTGTGTAGAAGCTCACAGATGTACACACGATACTGCTGAAAACTGTCGTAATGATATTCTTGTTACTGGAGTAAGTCGCATCGGGCCTAGCTATAGATCAGGGCCAGGATTTTGCCCAACAATTAATGCTACTGGGGAAGGTAGTGAAATGCTAGTTGCTGCTGGTACTAGTAAATCTATAAAAGTTAAAGTTCATATAATCGGACAATTCATAGTTCAAACACGCTTTGTATGCCAGTTTAACATTGAAGGGCGTGTTACTAGTTTGAATGCGCAATTGTTAGGAGATACCATATACTGTGACAACATGGAATTCCAGTACACATCGCGTTCCCCGAATTTGACAGCGACTTTTGCTGTTATTTGGGGGGGCTCAAAGCCGCTTGATAATCCTCATGACATTCATGGTAAGTTTAATGTTTTTTCACATACATATGTATATATATAATAGTATATATATAACCTTTATATTTATTTGTATATATATAATCAAAAACCGTAGCTGATCTTTTTTCGGCTAAAATAGCTGAGTGGTTACTTAAAAATAGGTTATAAAAACTAAGCGCCCATTGAACTGCTTCAAAATCATAATATTTTAATTTGTGTGGTATACATGAAAGAAGAAGAAAACAAATAGTTTTTTTGTATCAGCTTGTTGACTTAACCCAAAGTTCACTATGCGGTCTTTAATATATCAGAGGTGTTACAGAAACAGATTGTTGTCGGAATCAAAATTGAAACCTACAGAATTCTGTTGAATGGGTTGGAGCATAGGCGGTAGAGCCAGCCTATTGAACTGGTTTTAAATGACATCCAGCACTATTTGTTTAGACGGTATTGATCTATGAATCTACACACAAAAAAATTTTGTATCAGCAAATGTAAAAGTAGAATGCAAATTGCATTTACAACGACTATAGCTGCTGTAGCGCATTGCTCTTGTCCCTGACAGTTTTTCTATTATTTGCCCAAGGAATTTTATTTTTAATAATCACAAATGTTTTAATACAAGTAAAAAGATTTAATTTGAATAGGTGGGCTTTTTGAACAGCTGATTCAAATATCGGTTTTGCTTACCTTCGAAAAAAGCAAGATCAAGTCAAGACTAGAATTCACGCATTGATGCGAGCCGCACAACTGAAACCCTATTTGAAAGGCAAATTGCGGAAATTTTTGACTATTAGTTAGATAGTGTAATGGCGCAAACAAAGAAAAGTGGACATTGGATGAAATAGAAAAAATAATAGACTATGTTGAAGAAAACCCTAAACTTGAGGTAATATTTTGTTAATTTGTTTATGCATATATGTATGTATGTATATGTAATATTATACATGTACTTCTTTTTATAATACAGTTTCCAACCGCGCAGCTTTGTTACAAAAGTTTTCTAGATGGCGTTGATATAGACGCATCATGGCAGCTTGTAAAATTCAAAGTAAGGTACTTAAAACGAATCTGAATGAAGCAGAAAAATGGAGAGCAACAACAGGAGTACGTCTTTTGGGAACTGATCAAGCTAGTAGACCCAAACTGTTCAAGGCATTGATTATTTTGCATATATTTATGTATGTATGTTTTATGACAGAATTAATGCAATTTTTACTCCAAGGACTGAATGTGGGAGTATATATATTTATTACACTGTAAACGATCCGGAATCAATCGCATTAGTTGACATCTTAGAAGTAGACACATTACAGCAGGAAATTGTATGTGAAGCAGAAACTGTTGAAACTCCTTCCACATCTCTGGCAGCGCACTTACAAAAATAATAAAGGGAAAGTTTTCCGAAGAAATTGAAAGCATCAAGTAGCAAGGACTTATACAAATATAAGACAAATACAAGAACAGCGCACCCACTACATGGAGAAAAGTCTGAAACTCGATGAAAGGGAAATTTTCAAGGGAGTTCAGTTTTCAAAAAGCAGAGTTTTACGCTGAAGAGAAACATGAATGGAAGAAATTAGATAATGAAGATGTATGTAAGGAGGAGCAAACTAAACTAGCTCTCGAAAAAGAGGAAAGACTGGCTAGATACGTTTTGAAGCTGAAATATAAAAACAATTAGCAACAAATATTTACTTTAGATACTTGTACGCTGTTATTCTATTTTTATTTAAAAACAAATGGGAGTGATTTTATTTTTATACTTTCATGAAATAAAAAATGTGATAGTTGAATTAATTTGTTAACGCTGTTATTTATTCGAAAATTGTCCAGTAGAAAGCTTGCCGTTTGAATGCAAAATTAGTATTTTCTAAATTTTAAAGCTTCTTCAGCATTACGCCAATAATGTTTTCCAAATGTTTATTTGCGAATTCTTGTTGATCTTAATCAAGTAGTAAGATATTATGAATGATAGCTGAAACTAGAATCCATTGGATACACAATTTTCTTTTATTAGGCGTTGACGTAGTTCCTTCAGTCTTCCGAAACGCCCTTTCCATCGTCCTATGCTATGTTTAACCCTAACGCGGAATTGACTATGTCGAAATTTGAACTGTCTTCGTTTCACTGCAGTCATTGCATTTGAGTTGCATCTGTATGGTTTAATGATCCTAATTGGTAATGATTATGCGGAGTCAGCAGCTAGGCACTGATTTCCAGAAAAGTATTTTCTTGGATTTATAGCTAGATCACAATTAGAAAATATACGCGCATCATCAACACTTTCTCGCTTCGTCAGGTAGATACATTTCCTTTCGTTTCCAGGAAAGCTAGTAAAAAAACTGCATGTAATTTTTTGTATAGTGCCCCCGTCACACCTGGTGGCAATTTCTCCTTCTCTGACGACCCCAATCTATATAGAGTAACTGCTAACTGGAAATGGACATCAAGCTGTTCGCAGGAATGGATTTGATTGAATTCGTCGCTGTTTTTCATCATTTCTGTTATGTGCATAAGTTGTGTTTTGGTACAACGCATTCAATGTGTAAAGCGGCTAAATGTGTCGTTATGTCCACTGTCCATATGGACGACTTAGGCATAGCAAGATTTATTCCATGTCTGTTCATTGTAGTCACTAAACGCCTTCAAACAACTGGTCCGAAATTTCATCTTCCATTTCTTCTTTCATTTCATCATCTTCTGAAGTGTGTATATGCACAGTTAATTTATTTGACTATCGAAAGTATGAGTAATTTGGCTATCTAATTTCTTCATGAATATAATTTTTTTCGAATAGGGTCTTAATAAATAAGTAGTTTAAGATTTTGCTTAATTCACTTTGCTGTGGCATTGTCTATTTTTACCAAACTTTCATAAACAACATTTCGCACTAACACATACTCGTAATCACCATTCACTCTTTTGTGCGAAACTGAAGAATATTTTTGCATTTCGCATGAGCACTAGCACTGATTTTCAATTCCGATAACACCCCTGTATACTTTTTATAATTATTCTTCCAATGCTAAAAAAAGGAATAAGGTCTCAAGAAAACTAATAATACAATTCTGTCAAAAGAACATCTATTTAACCCTTCGAGTACTGCCATTCGGTTCGTTCAGTCTTGGTTCGACCAAAGCTTAAAATAATAGCTAATAGTTTTTTCTAATAGCCTAACGGAAAAGCAAAGTACAGCCAAGTCCTTCTCTACCTAGTATTTACGAGTTAAGGAGCAAATTGCTTTCCTGTGCTAGCAATATCTGATGGGATGCTATCGAAGCGAGGCAATATACGACTTAAATGTTGTGACTGTCCACAGTGACTAGGGTCAAGTTGCGAATGCGACTACTGTTTGTTTGATGTCTGTCTTCGTTCACTACCGGTTCCTTATTTTTCGCTTTCTCATGCGTTTAGAAAAAAGCAGAACCAAAAGCGGGGTTATTAAGCTCAATAATGTGAATATCATAGGTGTATGCCAGCAGCTCTACATTCTTATAGAAGAATGTACCTTCTCTATTCATCTCATAGCTCTTACAATATTTTCCGAAATCAAATTGAAAAAATTTCACGATTAAAAGTTTCCCTGTCTGACCTGATCCCGACAGAATCTTGCATGTTGCTTAATGTTTAATTTTAGATACCGAACTCCGCGTAGAGGCATCCTCTTTTCGTGCTGCTGCTATGTAATCGACGAAGAGGTGGAGTATGTTTGCCGAATAGTGAATACCTTGTCATTAGTTGATTTACCAGGTCTAAAGCCACACTTCTAAGGTCGAATTAGTTTGTTGACCGTGGGCTTCAGTCTTTCACACAAAACGCTCGGTATAACCTTGTATACGATATTAAGGAGGCTTATCTCACAGCGATTGGCGCAGACTGTGTCAGATACTCACCATCGTAAATATTTAAATAAATCGGTCGGCAATTCTTCGGCCCCGCCCGCTTTGTTGTTTTTTCAACCGGGCGATTGCTATTCGAACTTCTTCATAGTCGAGCAGTCAAACATTTGTTCCATCGTCATTGGTTAGCGTGTATCATTTTCAATGCCATTCCGCAGGCTGGAGAAGTATTCCCTCTATAAACTCAGTATACTCTGTAGGTCAAGTAGAAACCGCCCGGTTGTATGTTTTTATTGCAACTTTTTGATGAACTTGCTCCATTCGTTTATTTTTTTTTTAGCTTCGATCTGGAGACAGCCAAAAAGCTTGATGAACTTTCGTGTGCTCGAATCTAGTTCTACAGAGAACCGTATTTCAGGCACGGCGACGTCGATCAGTCTTTTTGAAGATGTTTCGTCATTCGTTCAGCTTGGATATCAAGCAAATGGGCTGCGATACTTTCCCAATGAAGGAACCAAATATTCCCGGTGCATGCCTTTAAATCGCGATCTTTAGCCACTTGCTTCAAAGATCGACGTCCGCTCGCAGCTGCACCAACAGAGGCTGAGTTCAGCGAACTTATAAATCGAATAATCCGGAGTGGCTTCACTGAAGCTTCCTCTCTCATAAGCCGTGACCGAAAGCTCCATACGGGTGGGTTACCGTGTGCATGGTTCAAGTTTGCAAACGGGGTTAGGTCGCCGAAAGGGTGATAGCCCTTGACCGGATAAAACCCGGGTTTACTCCGGTACGTAGAACCTGCTGTATTGAGAGTCGAACTTGTCGAGTCCTCAACTTGTTTTTCACCACCCTTATGATACCGACCTCTTGACAAATCCAGAGTTCAGTGATACTAACGGACATTGAGAAAAATATTGATTACCGCCGTGGCTAATGAGCTACCTGAGTGGTCGACAATCATCGGAGGTGAAACATCGAAACGAAGAAAAATTAACAGGGGGCTCGTCTCCCCACTACGGTTTAATTTTTACATTTCGAAACTCCCTCCTGCACCTGAAGGAGTTCCCCTAACCTCGTATGCCGATGATTGCACGATAATAGCATCTGGCCAGGATATTGATGACTTCTGTTCGAAAGTGAACTGCTACCTTGCCTTGAAAATACAGCCGATCAAAGCT